CCCATCTCCTCAGGCCCCCCAGCCCCGAGATCCAGGCTGCTGACCCGCCTACTCCACGGCCTGCTCGGACGACTGCCTGGCGGGCCAAACCCGAGCGTGGCCGCGGCCACCTCCGCTATGCCGACGAGGTGCAGGTTTGCGACGACTCCTCCAGCGACGAGTCGGATGCCAAGACCACGGGATGCTTCCAGTGGTGTCTGCGCCGAAATCACCACCGAAAGGTCCAGCACAACTTATTCCGCAACTTCTTCACCCGCGTCTTCTCGGGCTGCTTCCGCAGATCTAGGGGCCACAAGGCCCGGAGCCACTGCAAGGCCAAGAAGGACTCTGTGGCCGATAAGCGCAGGCAGATGCGCAAAGAAGCCTTTGAGATGCGCTCCCAGAAACGCTCCGCGAAGAAACGCAGCAAGCTCATCGACCAGCAACTCCAGGAGGAGAAGATGGGCTACATGTACACTCACCGCCTGCTGCTTCTAGGTACTGCGGCGGACTCTGCCCTCGGGCAGCAGGGCCGCCGGGGTTCCCGGGCAGGGGCGCGGGGCTCGACCGCGGGAGGAGGGGTCCGGCCAAAGGCGGGGAGAACCTGCTCGAAGTTCCAGGGAGGGACCCTAACTCTGCCCTGGGAGCGGGAGGGCTGTTGGGTGGGTTCGGGTGGCCGAAGTCTGTACCCTCTAGGGAGAAAAGTGATGCCGAGCGACACTGAGGGTCGTTTCCGGCTGGACAGGCCAGCGCCAGCGCCAGCGACCGTAAGCTGGACAGGCGACAGGCGGGGGCTTCAGGTGAGCCAGGAACTGCCGGGGAGGGCCCCTGGGGCTCCCCTGGCTAAGATGTTGGGGGCCGTGGTGGGCTGGGGTCGTTGGGGAAGGCGCATCCCCGCCTCGCCTGGCACGGCTGCTTGGTGTTGGAGAGCTTATTGTCGTTGGTGTGTGTCGGTGTCCATATTCTGTGTCCGCCTGTGCATGATATGCTCAAGTGTTCCCCAGTCACCCATCCCTGGCACCCCCGAATTACCCGCCGACTGTGTACTTGTACTTGGGAACTGGTTGTCTCGTGATTTGCGCCATGGCGCGGGCAGAAACTTTCGGTGTTCGCACTCTCTGGTGGTACCCGCGCGGCAGCTCTGCAGCCAGCCGCGCGAAAACACGCAGGGCGCCGTGGCGGGGCCTCCTGGGTAACTGCTGGGCCCGGGCCGGGGTGGAGGGGGTCGCTTCCTGCGGGCCTCCGTAACCTTTTTCCTGTATGTCTTTCTCTCTTTTTCCCTTTGCGCTAAGCGTATCCTCACTTCTCATTCGTTCGCCAAACCCTCCCGCCTTTACGGTTGAAAAAACCAGACACACAGGTATCTGGGGCTTTGGGGTCTCCCACACGATTTCGGTATTCTGCACACACCCGGCTCACACGGTGGGAGGGCGGGGGGGCGGGAGGAACACCCACCCACTGGCGGCGAGTCCGCTTCCGAGGGGGTGGGCGTGGCTGTGCCTGCAAAATATGAACTGTGTTTTCTTTCCACTAGCGAAGAGCCCGAGGTAAGCCGATCATTTGTACTTTTAGGAAGATCGCAGTAGGAGGGGCTTGTTTTAGAAACACGGGAGTTGTATACCGGGAGTAGAATGTTTGTGTTTGAAATGCAATTAAAATTTAAAAATTAAAATGAAAACTCTCAGTGTATGTTAAGTATGTGGACAAAGTATGGCAAATCGGGACGATGACTTCTGAAATATGTAAATGATTGCATGTGAATTTTTTCCGGCAGCTTTAGCTGGGGGCAGAGAGGCTCAAAGGTAAGGTCTTCTGCCAACTGCCTTTTGATACAAAAAAATTGTTTTAAGATCTTGTGATTCAAGTTAAAATAATGATATGTAATCAGAAGGGTGCCTTAGAGAGGCCCTTACCTGTCCCTCCTCTCTCTACCTTTTCCCGGGTCTCAGGGCTGAATCCCCTGTCCAAGTCCTTGCTTTAACTTCTTATTTCAAATCCAGAGTACAAACTCGTTTTGCCTCAGCTGGTCGAAGCAGCTATTAACTCTGTACCTGCAATAAAAATTTCAAAAGTGAAACTCTACCGTCTTTAAAACCTTTCAAGGGATTTCAAGATCACAATTCCTAAGGCTGTGCTATGTTTGTTTGTTGAGTATTTTATAATGTGTGTTGGCTTTTATTAATAGCATTATTGGCATAGCTATGCTATTGGGATACAGCTCCTGCAATCACAGTTTCACTGTGATGGTCATTTTATGAATGCTTACCTGAGGAAATAATGGCATTACCATTTACCTTAAAACATACAGTGGGAGATGGTTTTAAATTTCAAACGTCTCAGCTACATCTCAGCTATAGAACCTTAGAAGACAATGTACTAGTTTCCCTGCAGACAACTGATTTTGCCATAATAGACACATTTCATTATTCCAGGCTTAGCTGGGGGGTGGGGGGGTTCAGAGCTGTGAATTAGGGGGCAAGAGGGATGCAACTGTGTTCAGTCCAGGGTGCTCACCTGACCTATAACAGACAAGTTGATAAGGTCCCTTGCATGCCAGGACTTCCTGATGAAGCTCTCCTAGCAAATCTCTATGACTTCAGTCTGATGTACTCTCTGTCTTCCTCAGCTGGGGAGGGGGAGGAGGGAGTTATGCAACCATCAGCCCTGCAGCAAAAATGTCCAGTGTCTGGGCCAGGTCTTAGGGATATGAAAGCTTCCCTTGCCTCCTCAGTTTGTCAGGGGGTAGGGAGAATGAATCCTAAGGAAAGTAAATCTGTCAGGCTACTTTGCCATTGTCGAGTCTTTGCTTCCAGGCACTGGTAATCAAGAGTGGCTGCCTGGGGGGCTACCCAGCAAACAGGCTGGTGAGCCCTGAGCCAGTACTGGCAGGAGCCTGAACTACAAGGGCCACATTTACCTACCTGCTTCCTGCCACTGCAGCAGGGAGTTACAGTGTCCCAGCAGGTTGGCCTCATTTCACTGAAGTGACAGGAGAGGTATCCCACCTGGGTCTGAGTTGTGAGGAAGGGGAAGAGGAGGATTTACACACAGTGAGGGTGAAACATTTTACTAAATTGCGAGTTCCGATATGTGAAAGAAGACATTCATACTTTCCTACTCTGAAAATGCAGTTCAAATAAATGGCCATCCTTTGATATGATTCCTTTGGTATGCCAACTCACTTGTTGCTTTAAAAATGTGTGTTTAGTGTGCTTATTCTCAGTTTTTATTGCCCAAACATCTTAACCACATTACAAGGAGCTTTAAAAAGAAAGAAGGGAAATAAAAATTCCAGACTCTCTAAAGAGTTAAAGCCTTTTGCTTGCTTGGCACTATCCAGTGCTCCATTTCCCTTCCCCTGGTTCTTTGCTCCGTTGAATAATTTGGTGGCTTAGACTTTTTTTAAAACTTCAATTAGGTGTGATTCCCTTGTTTAAGAACCAGAAGCATCTAATACATCAGAATTTCTTAGTACCTGCTGCATTTATTAAAATCTGAAGGCAAACGCTGTCTGTAATAATAGACGTTCTGCTATGAAACTGTATTCTTACAGTGAATCACATTTAGTTGCATGATAATTTATTTATGCTGCCAAGTGCAACAGTGAGGCATTATATCCCATCTTGCAGAAGTGCTTTTTTCTTTTTCTTTATCTTTTCCTTCTTCTTTTTTTATAATGCAGCCCTTTTCCCATATTCAGAAGGCCTCCTGTGAGCTGTTTGGTGTAGCAGAGAGAACATGTCCCAGCAGGCCACAAAATTTTAGAATTAAGAGAGACTTTTATTATTTTTCCTTTAATAAAACTCTAAGTAGTATTCATACTTTTCAGAGGCCAAAATTCTGCCCTGCCTTTTAACATCAAAGTGTTTTCAAAATGTTTTTTTCCCCATCTGGCTACACTAATTTTTAAAATATGCTGGTGGATAATGTAAAAAATGTTTTGTTAAAAATGTAGTGTAAAAAATGATGTAAAATATGGTCTTGGCCCTTCGAAGAGACAGGGTAATAATCTCTTTCTGAATATTTCCTCCTGACTTGAAAGAGAAAGTCTCATTGCTCCCAATATTGTTAGTGGTCAGTACTGGTAATGACAACACATTCTGATTGCGTTTTATATTTTCAACAGCCTTCTGGCTGATCACATTTGTCCTCTGAAACAGTTCTGGGCAATAAAAACCTAGAACCCCATTTCACTGGCAAATAAACCAAAAGCTCAGAAATTAAATATCTTTTTGTTCAAAGTCTAGAAGGTAAGTGAAGGATCTAAAGTGTCTCACTCAGATAAGATGATGCTTACCAAAAACAACAAGCTATGCTTCAATGTTAAAGCATGATTATTGTAAATCTGTGTTTCTTAAAATCCCTTGTCACATGACAGGTGTTTAGCAGTCTGCTGCCTTCTGAATTGTAGCCAGGCAGGACATATCCCGGGCTATAAATGTCCAGTGCCCATGGAACGTGGTCTCCCCATTTCTGAGATGCCTGTCATTGTTATGGTTATATTGAATTTCCACATTTACTTCAGCTCCTCTGCCAGTGTTATGCAGTCTTCATTTGTTTTCTGGGCCTTTTTTCCTTTTTCTTCTTTTTAATTTTTTTTTTCTTTTTTTCCCAGCTTTAATTGAGTTTATTGGTACATTTTAGGGATACAGTACAGTTACATTCATTGTTGGGATCTTGTACCTCTAAGACAAGTCTT